TATGTGAAAAGGCAGGAATTGCTGCCCGTAAGATCTCCTAGGTATATATATACGTTCTATAGACCCGAACCTGCCCAACAACGTGACAAACAACTTAGTGCCAGGAGTGGGCTGTTCAGAACTGCTGTAGCTTTGGGTTCTCTCAGGTCAAGAAGGCCACAAGGCACGAAACTGGCTTCTAACGCCACTTCCGAGAATTTCCATATTGGTGCAGTCAGATTTCAATTGCCATGCATAGATCTCAGTATCTGCAAGTTTGAAGACATGAAGATGCATCAAAACCCGCAAACATCCTCAGTTGCAGTCCCCAATCTTCCCCAAACTCCCAAATCTGGCCTGGATGAATAATCAGGGCAAAAGGTTAAATCTAGTATTGAAACATATTAAAACAAACAAGTAACAAGTAGATACAAGTAGTAATTAGTCTTCGCAAGGGTTGACCAAGCTTTCCCCCAATGCCCCTTGAACATTCCCTCAAATGCTTCACTCAGGAAACATGCAGATCCTTGATGTCAAAAAGCCTACCAGATCCTACCAGAATGGTTTTGCCTCTCTTTAGGTCTGGGGGGTCTTATTAAATCAACAGTCGAGAGTCGATGGAAAACGATCCACCAAACATCTGAGTCATTGCTGCTTCGGACGGATCCACCAAACCCGCAGTCCCGCAGTTGAATCTTATGCTTAATTCTATTTATTGTTTCTAATAGCTTCTTGTTACTAGTAGCCATGCCAGGAGCCCCTAGTAGCTTCTTGCTCCTAGTAGTATGGCCAGGAGCCCCTAGTAGCGGAGGATCCTTTTGGATAAAAGGTGCTGGAATCGAGTGTTTTCTTCCAGCACCCTCACTGAAAACGGTCACCACCGCACCCCGCACCTGCCATTTTCAAGTCTCCAAAAGCCACCAAAGGAGACCTGTATAGTTGGGTTCCCAATTCATCAATCTTCCAATGACCTGCCACCCCACACGTGGACACGTGGACCACAAGGGTATTTGTTCTATTGTCATCTTTGTCTTTGACTGGGCACAAGACAAAAAAATAGACACACACACATATATATATATATATGCTCTCCCAACATAGAGCTTCTCTCGCCCCCGGTAGAATCGGCCCAAGGGGCCACATCGCGCGCCAAATAGTGGAATCGCTTTTCTGCACCGAAGCGAGGATCTAACCTGACGTGGCGGAACCGCACCACGGCCGCTTCGGATTGAAACACGGACCGCTTCGGACTCTATAGGTCCGGTGGTGGCACGTGTTGAGCCTTGGCGTTTCTTTGGAACTTGGATTCTGGAGAACCCTATCACCTACTAAATCCATTTATATTTTATAAATCTTTTCAAGAAGACCCGCACCCACCAATCCTTCCTGAGGCTTTGGTGGCTTTGGGGGGTGAAACGACCGAATTCAAATCCTCCAACTCGAATGTGGTGGGACGCCTCCACTGGAGTCCATGAGAGAGACAGGGAACAACACTTTCGAACCCAACACCACTCTACCAGGACCCGGCTCGAAGAAGGTTTTCCGAGTCGCCACAGGTCTTGAGACCTGGAACTAGTGGAACTAAACCTACCAAAAACCCTCAACTACCGACCCTGCAGGAGAGAACTGATCGCTTTGAGGGACGCAAACAAACATCCTCCCTCCCTCCGGACCACACCGGGACGGACCCGGACCCGGTCACCGACGCGGCCGACGCGTCGTTCGTCCAAGTGTCAACATGGAGAGAAGAAAGCGGAAGATCTCCACGTTTCGCCCATAGAGAACCTCGGATCCACATCCCACGGCTGTGTATTGTGTGATTGCTGTCAGTTGGACACACGATCTAGCACGACATGAGGTAGCTGAGCCACCAAAAAGGCACCATAAAGGTCACTCTTTTAACAGTGTTCAGCATGTCGTGGTGTAGGAAGCCTTCTTTCAACTGCATGTATCCTTTCTCTTTTTTCGGAGCGTTTTGGGCCACCACGAATGAAGGATTGGTGTGTGTATCTGTGTGTCTTGTGGACACCGAATGTCAAACGGGTGGGGGCGTCGTTGACACGTAAAAGAAAGCAGTCGTCTGTCTTAACATGTTGTTTACTTGCTTTTTATCGTTGGGTTGCACCATCTGAATACATTGATGACTTTTGGTAGCACCACTTGCGAGCGACATGCAAGGTTCAAGTCCAAGAGTCCAAGGCTCTACAATTCATGAGCTCCTTTGTCATATATCACATTAAGTAACAGGTACCGAGAGTTTCGAGAACTGGACGAGTTCGTGTTGCTCCAATATTTGGATGGGCGGTCCGTTTATGACCGATAGGTTTGCCTCCAACCTATAGAACAAATTTAATATATCTTCATAGAAGGTGAAACCCAAGCAATCTACCAACCACTCGAGTTGGATTTCGACGCAAACGCGGGAACCGACCGGAACATCTTGGAACCATACACCGAAACTGGGGAAAGTGGGGGAACCCAATGGGGAATCCCAGGCACTGGGTCTTCGATGCAACTGGCCATTCAGGTTGCGGGAGCTAGCAAAGTCCCATGAAGTTCCACTTGTACAACTAAACAAAACAAATATGCCAGTATTTTCTTCCATGTGTTCCCAACCAGTCTATGAGGCAGTTTTCCAGGATCAGCAGTGATCATGGTGTGCGACGACAAACATAATAAGTGTTCTTCAATCCCCCCCAACCCCCATCGTTTTTTCAATCCAGCGGCCCCAGTCGAACGCCCTCCACCAAAAACGGTGTATTTCATTCACCACACCCAGTGGAACGACACGTCTCCACCAGTCCCCCAGTGGCTCGCCAGTGGCTCGCCACGAGTGGCTCGCGACGGGGGGCGGGTTGCATCACATCGGCTCGGTGAATGAAGACCTTCAGCAACAAGATCCGCAGTCGGAAGTCCGTAGAGGCTTTGTCCACCTGGAGAAGCGAACTGCGAGGTGTGGCAGTTGGAGGTTCCTCATGGTGGTTCCATTTGGAGCAAGCTTTTTGAGGGTGGTGATGCGGAATGGGATGTCCTAGTGACTCTGAGGTCTTTTTAGGGATGTTCCATGTACTTGGAGTCCCGGGTTTGCTGACAGGTTTTCAGGGCACACAACTCCGGGAACCAAATGTACTAAGAAGCCTCAAAAGTTACTGTCAGGCAGGCAGTGTTGCCTGCTTCACATTTTTGCACGAGCCTGGCTGGGTATCCGAACCAGGATACGTGCCACTGGGTCACAAATAGCGGCCAACGAAAGTCAGGATTTGCTGACCAGCTTTCCCGGCTAGTTGCTTCTTATGCAAGGAATTGGTAGCTCATACGATTACATATGCGAATCTGGTTCAGAGCGTGTGTGCGTGATCCCTCCAACCCCTGCTCCTCTCCTTCTGTCGATCTCCATCCCAGGCACGATGGCCAGCAACGACTGCAGCCATGAGCCACTCAAGTGGTTTGCTCCACTGGGCACTCCAAAGCGCTCTGTGAGGACGTCGAGTGTGCGGAGGAGCACGAGGAAGAGCGTCAAGGCACAATCGTTGGTCGGGCCGTCCTGAGGTCCCGCTGTCGTCAAAACGCTTGGACCTTTTTGGAGCGAAAGCCGTGAATGTTTCAGGTAGGATTCTCCATTCGTTGTGTCGAGCAAAGGTTGTGTAGAACATGTTTGAGGGTGAGGGGACCATCATACAATGCTGATCTGCTTGTCTGCTTCTCTGGTTACTCTTAGTTCCTCCCACAAAGGGACAATGGAGGGACCCGTGCCAAACCCGAGGAGGGCTAAAGCAAATGCTGCAAAAACTTGGCTGCAAGTCATCCTCCAAACTCTGCAACATCCCAAAGCACCCGTTTAGAAGGTGAGGATTCTTATGGGGGGTTGTTGAGGTCAGGGTGGAGATCAAGGAATATGTCTTGGAGCTTGGAACTTGGAACCCTAGATTTATGGTGAGCAAGTTGAGCTTATTTGAGCTTCCGCAGGATGCATTTAAACCACAAATAACAACATATATATATATATACATAGTAAATAGGACCACAAATAGGAACAAATAACAAGAGCGTCACCAAAAAATAAGCAATGCAGGAACTAGAATTTGGCTCACCTCAAATGGTAGAAGCTAGGCAAACTAACTCGGGAGACATTAGGAAAAAAATATGATCCAGAATCCAAAATGAGAAAACAGCGGGATCCCCTTGTCTCCCCTCCCTCACGTCCGCCGTCCGCTACCCGGCCTATAGTGCTATCATCCTCATTACGCTATGATTTTGTTATGCCTGCCACCTTCTGGCCTGGCTCTTTTGTTTTGTTTCATCTGTTTGATTCTATCTAATGAAATGTAGCATTGTTGATGTCCTGTATTATATTGTTTGTCCTATGTTCTTCCTATTGTTCCAATTTTCCTTTTCATAAGTTACAATTTATAGTTTGTTATATCCAATTGCGAGCTTCAGGCATTCATTCAGCTCAACATAACTTACCCTAGATCCCAGACCTAAACACATATTTGCTTAAAATTCAAGCGGGGTTCACTCCAAACTGTGTTCACGAGACGTCCCGCGATCACCACGTTCACCGTTTTTCAGACCCGGTTTCTTTCCGCCGAAAAGACGTCTCCGCGTCGAAGACTCCGGAAATCCCCGAAGACTTTCGGTTTTGTCGGGTTTTCAGGAGGAGACTTTAGTATTAGCATCCACTTCTGCAGCTTGAGAAAAGTTGCTGATTGATTGAGGTCAGGGGCCTACATCATCAAAGGAAAAACTGGCACACTAATCTTTTGGCGGTCCTTTCTCATACTCCGTGGAGGAAAAGTGTCACGCTCCTGACGTTCCTCGTCTTTTTTCACATCACACGTCTCCCGTTTCGCGAAACCCTTACCAGCTTGATGACCCCCACCTTTCCCACAAAAGGTAAACAATACTATTTGGATCATCCCAAGCTTCGGGGAAAATCACCTCGTCATGCTCCAGCCACTCCGTTTGCCACGTCGCGCCCCGATCAGTTTCGCCTCAAAAACAGCCGGACCCTGAAACATTCGGGCGCACTATTGATCGTTCTGGTGGGGGTGCTTCGGGTGCTGCCTATTTGTCATCAACATTGAAGTGCATTCGTGGATATCATTTTCCAAAATGTTCTATCTAATTTAAAGTAGTCGATAGTAAATATATAGGGCATCGTATATTAACCCTGAACTTGTAGGTCTGAAGTAGTGAATGTTTGAGGTCAAATGTGCATTCCAAGAACCTTTCAATAACCACGAGAGGAAACTTATAATGTTTGGTGGTAAACAGCAGAGACACTTGCAACAACTGCATCACACAAAGAGCGCACAAGCTCTTTGCAGGCTCTGAAAAGGGCAGCGGCGGTACCTGCCTGGATATTTAGATGCGTATCCAGCAGGACTCGAACTAAGGGTCGGTATAAGCAATGATTGAGGATATGAACAATTGCGTGACATTGTATTTCCTATCCCTTGTTTGGAGATGTGAGCACATCATTCTGCATCGTTTGATCTGAGGATGCAGAAGGAACGAATAAACTATTAGACTATTAGGGTAGTTGTCAGTCGAAGTGTGTTGTGGAGCTTGGAGGTTGGAGAGGCTAGATGCCAGTGTGAGTTTGTGAATGTTTGTTGCATGCTGTTGAATGCAACAACCAGTGAAACGGGAAAACAACACTTGAGCGGGGAAACACGAAAGGTAGAGACGGACCGAGTAGCTGTCGGGACCTTTTCTGGTGAGGGACTGTCTCCGGTGTTTCAGGAACGTGCCCCTTGGTCAATCATGGATGAAACCAACAAAGCCAGAGAGCACAAGAAGGCATAAGAAGGCTCAAGAGGAACACCGTTGCGGTCAGATTGCGCCACACGGATCTGCAGAGAGGCTGCGTTGCGTCGACGCTCGTTTGTGTCTAGGTGTGTGAAAACAGGCGCGCGTAAAAGTCGCAATGCGTAAACGCTCGCATGTGTACCAGCTATGGTCCCACAGCTGCACGCACTGTGTCAGGATTACAGGCCTGCACGCGTTGCGTCGAAGCCGCAGTGACTCAGTGACCAACCCCCTTGCAAGGATAGTGCTGGAGGGGTGCGGCTGGTACTGCCAGGGATGGACGTCACGCTATGGTGGGTGTGCTCCACGATGCGGTAAGATTTCGCCACGCTAGGGTATAAGGCTGAGTCGAATGGTGTTCCGCGACGCGAGGGGTTTCTCCACAGGGCTTAGCAGAGAGGCTGTGTTGCATCGATGCTCGTTGGTGTCGAGCAATATGGTCTGTGAACGCAGTACGTGCTGTGTCAGGCTGCCGGGTGCGCACGCGCGGCATCGAAGCTGCATTGCGCGACCTCATTGCGCAGGGTTCGTGCTGTATTGCGCAACCTCATGGCCAGCGTCGTACTGCTGTGACTGTTAAGCGCATGACTTCACCTTATGTCATGTCCAGAATTTAGTAGTGCTGGCGACGAGGGGGGGGGAGGGGGGGGGGGGGGG